GTCGTTTCTGCATTAAATTTCATTTGATACTGATGATTCTTTCATGGTGTTGCATTTTCTACAAACAGCAGTTTAGAAGCACCAAGAAATGTTTCATCTGCCATAAAACGAATCACCTAACTAAAGACTGCTATTTCCGAAACAAGAAAGAGGGAAATCAAAGCCCAGCATCTCAAGAAAAAAGAACAATTGCAACTATAAATCGGTTATGAATAAAACCAAAAACAATAACGCTCATTGTGCATTTGAAAATCAGGATAAACATTCTAGTGAAAATTTCGCTCTTACCGCCCAGCAAAAACAACATCGCGTAAAATCTAGTGCTACTGATACAAACAAAACTGTTTTCATTCTGGATTCTGGTCCTATTTCACACATGGTAAAAGATTTAAACTTTTTTGAAAACATAAGTTATATTAACGGAATAATACAATTAGCAGGTAAGAAAGCAAATTTAATTTCTAAAGGTATTGGTATTGTTTAAGTTACTACAACAGTTGATAATTGCAGAAAAAATCTAACAATATATGATGTTATATATGTACCAGATTTACGAAACAATTTAATTTCAGTAACTAAATTAATTGATAAAGGTTATAAAATTAAATCTAATGGTAATGATATTTTGATTTTAAGTAATGACAATCGCATTGTTTTAGAAGCTGTAAAAGTAAACAATTGTTTTGAAATTTTAATGTTACCGTGTAATAACATTTTACATAATTTGTTTGATTATAATGATACAAATAATTCTGAGTTAGAGTGTAATGAAGTAAGTAATTTGGATACTTATAATATTTTGGCATAAAAGACTTTGTCATTTAAATCCACAATACATGGTAAAGAAATAGAATAGAAAAAAGTTCAATTATTCTTTCCTACCTGGATCTTATCTATTTACCAGACTTCGCTACTGCAAATCTTCTTCGCTTGTGCTTAAAAGAAAACGAATTCTAATAATAAACCAAATTTAATGACAGGACGGACATTACAGAAAACGATCTTCTTTAACGAAGCTATAGAAATCAAACTAACACAAAATGAAAAAACATTAATATTCATAATATGCATTCAGTCTGAGCGCCATCTGTTGGCATTAAAGTTAATCTGTTTCATCCTCCGGCCCCAAAGGACCATTGGACAAACAGTTTTCGGTCCTTTTGAGTCTTAGCCAAGTTCACAAGGATATAGTAGTTGAACTGGTCTTTTTAAATTAGTTCCGTTAGAAAGTCTAATTGTGCTCGATCGCGTCTTTCCATCACGTCCAGGATGGACACAGGTGACAATCCCCATTTTCCACATGAGTCGAGGAAGTTTCTCGTCGTACACTAGGACGGCTGAGTCTTTGGTTGGTAGAACATTTTCTTTCTGTCTCTTTAACTGGTGGGCTGTTCTTAGTTCTAGAAGATACGAAGATTTCCATTTTTTTCCATATTCTTTCTAAGAGGGAATTTTTTTGCTTCCATCCTTGTTCTAGATTGGATTTGCTAGAAGTTGATTGAGTCGAAGCTGTGGGAGGTGGGAGAGCAACAAGCCTTCTGCCTATGAGGAAATGTCCAGGTGTAAGCGGCTCAGGTTCCTCAATATCACTGTAGACAAAGGTCAAAGGTCTGGAATTTATAATTGCTTCAACTTCAATAATTATGGTCTCTAATTCCGGAAACGTTAAAGATGTTTTTCCCAATATTTTTCTAAGGCAAATTTTTGTAGATTTTATCAGTCTTTCCCAAAATCCGCCCCACCAGGCAGCTCTTTCAACGATGAAATTCCATTCTATGTTTTTAGTGGCAAAATAATTCTGAATTTCTTTGTCCTTTAAAAATTTCCACAATAAATTTATCTCAATTTTTGCTCTTTTGAAAGTTCTTGCGTTGTCAGAGTATAGTTTTCTACAAAGTCCTCTGCGGGATACGAATTTTCTAAAAGCAAGTAGGAATGTCTTTGTAGTCAGATCTTCAGTGAGCTCAAGATGGACGGCTCTGGTGACAGCGCAGGTAAAAAGCAAAATATAAGCTTTTTTTATCCCGTTGAAACTCTTCACATAAAGTGGACCTGCATAGTCGATTCCTGTTACTTCGAATGGATGAGCCTGTTGAATGCGGTCTGGAGGGAGAGGAGCTTCGTCTTGGGTAAAGGGCTTAGCTCGAAATTTCTTGCAAAGATTGCAGTTGAAAATAATACTCTTAATTCTCTGCCTTCCTTTAATAATCCAATAAGTTTCTCTAACGTCTGTTAATGTGTCAGCAACTCCTGAATGTCCTAATTTTTCATGACTTCTGCGAATTACAAGATTCGTAAAGTGACTTCTACTAGGCAGTAGCATCGGAGATACTTCGTTGTGACTAATTTCAGCATATCGAAGTCTGCTCTGTAAGCGAATGATGTTATTTTCGTCTAACGAAATGAAAAAGTTTTTCAATATTGACTTTGAAGATATGTCTTCTCCGCTTTTTAGTGCCTTCAATTCTTCTCCAAAATGCTCTTCTTGAGTTGTCTTTATCCAATATTCTTCTGCTGATTGTAATTCTTCGCAACTAATAGTTCCGGTTTTTCTGTTTTCTCTATTTTTAAGATTAAAGATAAATCTTCTTATCCACGCAGTGATACGTAAGATTTTCGTTAAATTTCCAAATCTTTCAATATTAATAATTTTCTCCATCTCTGAATCTATTGAAAGAACTACTGACTTGTCAACCTCTTCATTATCGATAGTTGCAAGCTCTTGATTTTCCTTAGGCCAATTATCTTCACTTTTTATCAGCCATTGGGGGCCGATCCACCACAATTCTTTGTTAAGCAGATTTCCTAAGGATTCGCCACGAGTTAGCAGATCTGATGGATTTTCGTTACCAGGACAGTGCGACCATGAAGAAGTGTCAGTTTTTGAACGAATTTCAGTAACACGATTTTGGACAAATGTTTTCAGCCTTTTAGATTTTCCACGAATCCAGTGAAGTACTATCATCGAATCTGTCCAGAATCGAACGGAATAGTTTGTCACAGATGAAAGGCTGTTCTTTACATATTCAAATAATCGACTTCCAATTACAGCTGAGTGTAATTCAAGTCTCGGAAGTGTCACCTTTCGAAGAGGAGCAACTCTGGATTTAGAGCAAATTAACGATGTTCGAAAATGTCCATCATAGTCTGTATATCGAATATATAGGACTGCACCATACGCTCGTTTGCTCGAGTCAACGAAACAATGAAATTGAAAACTTCCCTTTTCTTCAGCATTTTTCAGATAAAATCTAGGTATTTCAAAGTTATTTGAGTCTTTTAGTTCATCACACCATTTGTTCCAGTCTTTCGTTATATTTAATGGTAGAGGATCATCCCACTTGAATTTTTGTTCCCAAATATCCTGAAGAAGAATCTTTGGTCTCAGCGTAAAGGGACTAATAAATCCAATAGGATCAAATATTTTCGATGCAATTTTTAAAATTAATCTTTTAGTTAAAGGATTAAATTTGTTACTTAATTCAGCAAACTTGCATTCTAATTTTAGCGAATCATCTTTCGAATTCCAAACGTAACCTAACACCTTAGAAATTTCATTTATATTTTCGTTACAATTTTCGGACTGGTCTAGTTTTATCTGAAGAGATTCCGAATTTGTTTTCCACTTACGCATATTAAATCCACCTTCACGTAAAATTTCTTTTATTTCCTTATAAATTAAAAGACATTGGTTTTCGTTATCTAATCCAAAAATCAAATCATTAACATACAATTTAGAATTTAAAATTTTATATGCTAACGGATATTTACGTTCGTACTTTTTTATATGAAATTTGAGAGTTGCAGCCAATAAAAATGGACTTGGAGTAGCACCAAATAATACACGCGTCATTCGAAAAATTTTAATTTTTAACTTCTCTTTACTTTCAAAATTGTCCTCGAACCATAAGAATCTAACTGCATTTCTATCTCTTTCATCTAACAATATCTGCAAAAAACTTTGCTTTATATCGGCAGTTAAAGCGAATGATTTGCTTCGGAAATCTAAAAGTGATCTTAAAGAGTCGGGATTCAGATTCGGTCCGGAATATAAACAATCGTTCAATGATAATTTATTTTGCGAGTGTGATGAGGCGTCATAAACTACTCTTAACTTCGTAGTAGTTTTATCATCATGCATGACGGCACGATGAGGCATATAATATTCTCTATCCATATTCGTTTCACCCTTTTCATTCATTTCAACGGGTTCCACTATCCCCTCGCAAATCTGCTTCGATAATACATCCCTATAACGATCATAAAATTCCTTATCTTTATCAAATCTCTTAACTAAACTTTCTAAGCGATATTTCGCGATTTTATAATTATTTTCTAAATTTTCAGCATTTTCATTCCACGGTAATTTTACCACGTATCTATTGTTTTGAAATTTTATATTTTTCTCAAAATCCTGTAAGATAAATTCCCCATCATTATTAGACAAATCCCTTTTTTCGTTTTCGATACCGATTCGATAAATGATTTTTGACTACCTAAATCAAAAAAGATACGTATTTCAGCTCGTTTGTTTTTATTTTCTGCTAATACCGTCGCGGTTTGGAGTAAAATATTACTGCTCGGATTTTTACTTTCTGCAACAGAAGACACAATAGTTTCATTTTGGGGGACTTCGGGTTTTGATTCTAAAAGTTTATCGCATATGTTTTCATTATGTTTTTTACTACAAATAGTACAAGCAGGTTTCTTAACACATCGCCTGACAATATGAAATTTTTCTAGACAATTAAAACACCTACCTTGACGTAATAAACATTGTTTCTTTTCGGCAACACTTAATTTACATTCATCATTTTTATGATCATTAGAACAGAATACACATTTAGTTTCTAA